TTTTTATCACAATTGGAGGCGCTCCAATTGTGATTTTCTAACGCCCCGAAATAAACCCAACATGAATAAATCATCAACCATGTACAATCATTAATTTCAACCATACTCCATTATCGATATCAAAACCTCCATGGTTATTACAAGGGTTCCACATGAAAATATACATTCACAAGGTAAAGAAATACAGGAATCTATAGCATGTGAGGCATCAAATCTCAAAACAATAAAATGCCCTTACGGGCTTACATCTTCCAAGGCAATGGCTCGGTTACACAAAATGGTCTCTCGGACCTGAACACGTTTCACCCTTGGCTTTACAAAATTTACAACAAAACAAAAGAGCTATATACTCTTCACAGAATATCCACGCCATCAGTTCGGCGGGATCACCACATTTTTACCTGCACCAAATCTCCATAGGGGTGATCACAAAGTCCAGTAGAGAATTCTAACAAAGTATATACAGTTATGCAATTCTCAATGAAAATGCAAATGTCAATGCCATGCCATGCTCTTTTAAGGAAATATCATTTCATGCTCTTTGAAGATTTCAATTTTTCAAATAAAATCTTGCAATCTCAACACATTTCAAACTTCCAATTTTAATCAACAGAGGGGCGGTAAATATGACACTGGTAATCCCTAGGCTGGTGTCTGCAAGTAGACTCTGCGAGTACTACCAAACTGTCATTTTTACCGGTATTAACCGGGAGGCCCAACATCTATCCGCGCGGTTTTCTGGTCTTTCACCATGGACACTCAGGCTAACTTATCAAATTCATCTATACCTCCTAACCGGACTTACCATCGTATTTATCCCATACACATCTCCATAGTTCATATCACAACGTTATTTTCTTTCATGAAATAAATATCTTCAATGAGAATTTACAATGCAAAAATAATGATTGAATGAATATGCAATGCAATGATTTTCCATAACTCATAACATTTTCCCATTTCCAAAGTCTCTACAATAACGTCAACAATCACATTTTCCATTACCTCTCTTCAATGGTCTTTCCCCAAGATAACCACATGTTATCTATACGTAGCCACAATTTCACCTTTCACAATTCTTAGCAACATAGTCTCACCAAGACTACATGTAATGTTTTTCAAACATTAATTCTCACAATTCATAATGCACAACAATTATCATTTCACAATTAAATATTTTTCATGCATCTAACAACAACTTAAAAGTAAATCCTCCATTTACTTATATCAAGGAGATTACCACTTCTCTTATCAAGACGTGAATGCCACACTCACTCATCTATTTTAGTGCAAGAAAATAAGTTTATTCCATGGATTGACCATGTTTTCAAAAAGCCCCAATTTTCTAGGTTTTCACAAAAACCCAACATCGGTCATCTTTTTTTATAAAAATCTAATCATACACTTCAATTCTCAACTCATGTTGTCCAAAATTTCAAGAAAATCTCTAAATGAACACAAGATAGAGTTTGTTTTACAAAAATCATCAATCCCTTGAGCCACCAAACCCATTTTTCAAAATTTTCAAGGAGAGTTACAAAATCAACTAAAAACTAACATAAATATATATAGCTCAAAAGAAAACCCTCTAGGATTTATAAAAGAGTTGAGGTACAACCCACATTTAAAACTCTCTATATTTTTTTGAAACACAAAATTGAAATCAACAAGGAACTAGAAGAAAACTCTTAAAACCATCATCAAAATAGCAAAACTTGTATATATAACTCAAGAATGTCCCTACCTCAAGCTTAGAAGAGAAGATGAGCAAAAAGGTTGAAACTCCAAAGATGTCGAAACCAACTTCTACTTGGGTCAAGACGAAGCTCTTGACAAGATTTACACTTAATCTCAAAGGAGCAAGGCAAGGAGAAGCTTCCAAGTGAGTAGATCTAAAGATCTTTGAGCAAAAAGTGATTTTGGAAAGGATGGAAGAGTCTCACGGCTTGAAGAAAGAAAAAGAGAAGAAAAGGTAAAGAAGAGGTTAAGTGAGGGACCTATTTATAGTGCTAGGACAAAATAAAATGGAGTTTCAAAGTCAACTCAAAAGACCAAGTCAAAATCCCCAAAAAGTAGGCCCAAAACGGACTGAAATCTGGAAAAAAGTCTATAGAGGTCGACCCTTTCAACACAAGGGTCGACCCGATGAAGAAACTTATGTTTGACAGCATGCAAGAGGGTCGACCCTCTCCCAGACTGGTGTCTATCCTATTTTCCAGCAACCAACACACAGACATAAGAGGGTCGTCCCTCTCTAGCTGGTGTCTACCCTATTTTCCAGCAACACTTCTAGAAACTTCACCAATAGGTAAGGGTCAACCCTTAGGAAGGTTGGTGTCGACTCTAGCATAGATTTTGTAAGTCTCCAAGGAACTTTTGACAAGAATAAGTACAAACAACCAAACCCAACAAGTTTAAATCGGATTATACTCCTCTAATACCATCCCATGACAACACCAAGGATTTCCAAAATAAAATAAAGGATTCAAATACACTTGCTCAAAGCTTTGAAGGACACAAGTGCTACAGATTTTTTCACGTTAAATCGGTGTATTGATTTGTCTTTGATTGTTTGATTGAGATTGTTATTCATTTTTTTAAAACTGAAACATAATCACAAATCAATATGTCGAAGATTTTAGATTTTTTAGATGATCACTACTATACAACATGTTCATATGTTTGGTATCCAATAATACCATAATAGTTATTAATAGGGATGGAAAACTCAACTCAAAATTTGTTTAGATTATAAATAAATTTAAATGGGTTCTACAGAGATTGTTTTATTATTAAGCTACGTAGTTAATCGTCTAAGACCTTTAAAATATTTTAAAAAAAATTTTATAGTTGAAAATTGTAATTTTTCAATACCCAATACGATAATGCATGATTTTGCTCTTTGAAATTTCATGTAATCTTCAGTCGTTACCCGGGTTGCATATTACAAACCCAATTAAAATTAAGTTAAAATGAATGGAACATAAATTTACGTTTAAAATGATACATTATGTTCCACCACCACCACTACAACACAAACCCACCCTAGCACTTCTTCTCTTACTGCACCACTATTGTTCCATCATTACCAGCATCATCGCCACTGCTCCACCATACCGTTGGCACCATTACCTCCACAATTATCACCACCACCACCACTAATTCACCAACACCACCACTTCCACGATCCTACCACCACTACCATCGCTATTGTTGTGGCCATTCCACCACCATCACCGTTGTCGCCATCTATTTGGGAAAAAAAGTTAATAAAGTAAATGAGTAGGTCAGGTTATTGTTCAACCCATATCCAATTGAATCTAATGTATTTAAACCTGTTTATTAAATGAACGGATTTAGTTTTAGTGGTTTTAGATGCAGAACATGTTTTGACACATCCAAACCTATCTATTTACCACCTCTAATTATTGTGACAACCAAAAAATAAAGTAAATGTTGTGCAATAGAAACAATTTAGAGCATTAGATTCGGTTATTAGCCGAAAAGGGAAGCTTAAAATTGCATACCTTACTTTACAACCATTAGAATAAGAAACTTTAATTAACTCCAAAGTTGAATCCATCCAAGGAAGCATTTTTAGAATCCAGATACTTTCATTTTCGTATGAAGGAGGATCTCAATTTCATGATCAATGGCTTTAGAAGATTCAAATCCACATATTTTATATTTAATTAAAAAATAGTTAAGAAATTTTAGAACTTATAATGATATGTTAGTAATAGAACGTAAATTTCAAATTTTGATGGTATTTTACAATCTTATGAAAGGAAGTGCAGATTCATTCTATCTATATGTTAGGTTTTTGTAATTGACAATTCCATTTGACAAAACTCCTTTTAGTTCTAGTTTTATTTGTTCTTATGTTTCAGTGAAGATGTGAGTGTTTAAATATGAATCCAACCTGAATTGTGCCTATGCAGAGGAGTTTGCGATCTTAAGGCTTTTATGTTTGCCACTTCGTTGACTAAGTATAGAGATCGAGGGGCAACACCCCGAAACCAAAGTTGGTTGATTGCTCGAGCATTCATTTGTGCGCTCAAACGGTGAATGGGATCATCTAGTATTTTTGCAGAGCGGACTGAACTTCTGAGAGAATCCGTTTTGAGCTCGAGCGGTGGAGTCTTGGCTCGAGCGATGGGCACACATTTTAGTGAGTTCGCTCGAGTAATGAAGTGGTTGCTCTAGCGGCCTTCGTGGCTCTATTTTCTATAAAGTGTGTTGTTCGCTATTTTTAGGGTTTAAGCCATTCAAATTCTAGAAGAGCAAAGCTACCGAGGTTTTCTATATTAGAGGGTATTTTTTTGAGTGTTTCCTTAATGATTTGAGAGTGATCAATAGATCTATGAACTTCATATTAACATCATCAAGGGGTTTGTTTGTTTTCTTTTATTCACAAAAGAGAGTGGTGTTCTTTGCGTCTGACACTTTGGTAGATTCTAGAGTGGCTCATCATCGTGGATTTCGAAGTGGCTCATCGTCGTGGAGATCATCAAAATCCTTATTTTTAATTAAATTCACCCGACCCACATCTGTTACAAGGATGTGTGTGCTTGAATTAATCATTTGATAAGAGATTTGGAGATAGAGAAAAAAGGAAAGAGAAAAAGTAAATGAAATGTAAGCTACATTTTGTTCTATTTTCTCTTCTTTTTTCTTTCCTCTGCAAATATTTTTTTTTTATTGGCAAAAGAAGAAACTTTATTGATGATAATAATTTGATTACATTAATAAAGAAAATGATGAAAGAAAATGATGAAAGAAAATGAGTGCAAAAAGAATCAAAGCGAACAGAAGGATCCAAACTAGGTTGACACCTAAAAACACGCCCAATCATTTGCTAGCACACCATCAAGTTGATGAGAAACCAACCAAAACCAAAATACAGCCAAAACACAACTAATACTCCAAGAAAGAACCCCTACAACCTCAGCAAAGACCCCAACATCAAAGACATAGAAGCCATATCAGAGACAATAGAGTTAAACAACAGAAAACCAGAACAAACAAAGTTTCACAGCAGCCAGATCAGAGTAGCAGATTTGCAGCAACTGATCACACTAGAAAACCAGAACAATCAGAAAAACCAGAACAGAACAAACTAGCAGCAGAGACATGACAGCCATATCAGAGGCATAGCAAACCACCAACATAGGTAAATAATAGAAAAATAGAAAAACCAGAATAAACAGAGTTTCACAATAACTAGCCAAAAGCAGAGAAACAACAGAGGTATCATCCATTTAAGCTTCAACAAGCACCTACCACCTCCAACCCTTAGAGGTTTTATCTCGCCCATTTTATATTTGAAACAGTCTCTTGAATGGAGTAGAAACACCCCATATCATAAGGCTTCACCCATATTGCCACTCTAATTTGTATTAACTCACACAAATCATCAATGGCAGGTTTAGTATTGTTAAAGATACAGTCATTTCTGTATATCCACAAGGACAAAACAACAGAAATGAGAACAATTCTCCAAACTTTATTTTCCTTCTTCCTGAACTTCTACCCTGCCACCATTGTATCAAATCTTCAAAGGATCCTGGTATCACCCATTAAATTCCCACCAGTCCATGATATTTGACCAAACATGCCACACAAAAGAGCAAGACACAAGGAGGTGATTAGAAGTTTCCACCTCAGCTTTGCACAACACACTGGGCAAAATTCCAGTACCTCTCAAAACTCCAATTGTACTTAGGAATGCAGATGTTTTCAGGCTGCCTCTCCATGCAAGCCAAGTAATGAATTTAGCCTTAGGAGGGGCAAAGTTATTCTAAACCAAATCTGGTAAGCTGAGGACAGGTCCACAACTTTGCTTGCACTACTTATACACAAATCCAACTTTAAATAACCCTAATTGCTCAGCTTTCCACCTAATTGAATCCTTTTGATTAAGATGAAGGCATGTCCCTATTCCTAACATATTTTACAACCTTATCACCTCATCTTTTTTCCAGCCAAAGAGAGGCCTTCTAAAATTAAAACACCATTTGTTGGTACTATCTCTACAAGAAATCTGCATTTTCAAGGTGATCTCATTTTCTAAATTCAGCTGGTACAACCTAGGAAATTGGGATTTGAGACTTGATGTTCTCATCCAAATATCATTCCAGAACTTCACCCTATTTCCATCACTAATCCTAAGCTCCACATTTTCCACATAGAAGTTATACAACCTAAGATTTAAATATGACACAGCAAGAGCATCTCTCCAGATAATAGAAATAGAAACAAGATCATTCAATGGAGGAAACCAATGACACCCAGATACACCATATTTGGCACATATCATAGATTTCCACAAAGCCTCATCTTCCAAGGCATATCTCCACCACCACTTAAGTAACAAGCACTCATTAGCTACTTTGTATCTCTGATTCTAAGACCTCTTTGATTCTTATTCAGCTGCACCTCTTTCCACTTTACCAAATGGATTTTTCTTTTAGATTCATCCCCTCTCCACAGAAACCTGGCTTGAATCTTATTAATTTCTTTAGCAACACACTTATGTATCTTAAACAAAGACATATAAAAAATAGGTGAGGAAGACAAAAACAGATTTAATAAGAGTGACTCTTCCAGCATAAGAAAGCATCCTTCTCTTCCAACTTGATAATTTCTTTTTAAACTTGTCCACCATTGGCTGTCATGTTTGTTTCCTACCTGGGTTGGCTCCAAGTAGCAACCCAAAATACTTTAGTGGAAGCTTATGACTCAAACAGTTAAGTTTGGCTGCAAACTCTTCAACCAACCCATCTTCAACTCCCACACCACAAATCATACTTTTATAAAAATTTATCTTCAATCCCGAGACCACTTCAAAGCATCTCAAATTGCGTTTCACAGCCACAATCTCAGCCCAGTCAACCTTAGAGAATATAATAGTATCATCAGCGAACTGTAGATGCGATATGTTAACCTCTCTATCACCCACTGCCATTCCTATTATAATCCTCAATTCCTTAGCTCTTGACAACAATATGTTCAACCCTTTAGCAACAATATTAAACAAAAAAAGGGAAAAGAGGATCACCCTGTCTTAGCCCTTTTTGTGGACAGAATTTAGCAAACGGTAAGCCATTAACCGAAATAGATATTCTAGAAGATTCCAAACATTCTTTCATCCATCTAATCCATATTCCAAACATTCTTTCATCCATCTAATCCATCTTGATCCAAATCCAAAACTATATAACATCAGCAGCAAACAGTTCCAGTTAACAGTGTCGTATGCTTTCTGAAAGTCCAATTTGAGAATGAGGCCATTCTTCTTTGATTTTTTCCACCAATCCACCACCTCATTTGCTATAAGCACTCCATCCATAATGTTTCTTCCCCCCACAAAAGCAAACTAAGCCTTATCAATCACACTAGGCAGGACTTGCTTGATTCTATTGGCCAAAACCTTGGAAAGCACTTTATAGGGAGAATTTATCAAGCTACTAGGTCTGTAATCAATAAGAGAGTTAGGATTCTCCTTCTTCGAGATAAGAGTAACAAAAGAGAAATTCACCCCATAACCCAATTTACTATTACTATAAGACTCCTTCCTGAACTTTATGATGTCACCTTTCAAGAACCTCCAACCTTTTTGGGAAAAAAAAGCATGTTAAACCCATCAAGGCCTGGGGCTTTGTTACCATCACATTCTTTTATAGTAGCCCATACTTCTTCCTCTGTGAATTCTCTCTCCAAAATGTCACCTGCTTGGTTAGCTTCAATCTTCTTGAAATCTCCTCCAATTCTTGGCCTACACCTCCATTGTTCAGTAAATAAATTCTTGAAGTGGTAACAAGCTGCTTGTTTGACCTCACTTGGTTCTTCAACCTCAACCCCATTAACCTCAATAGAAGCAATCAAGTTCTTGTTGTGTGTCGTAGTAGCCATAATATGAAAAAATCTAGTATTTTTGTCACCTTTAAGAGCCCAGTCCATCCTAGATTTTTGCACCCACATCCACTCTTTTCTTTTCCTAAGCTTCCAAAATACTTAATCCAAACACAACTTCATAGAATACAATTGCCCACATTATACAAATAAGAATTATTTTGAAACTAAAAGGTATGAGAGAGAATGAAAAAGCCAAAGCATTTCATAACTTTAGCTAGGCATTTGCTTTGCACTTATGAAAAGTAAAAGGAGCTTCAAAATGCTACCAAACACTGTGATATACTTTGATAAAAGGCATATATGTCTCACTTTCACAAACTTCAAGTATTTAAAAGTGCAATGGCGTGATAGTCACCATCTTGCTACTACAAAAAAAGAACATGCATGCATTTACTTTCAAGAGACTCCAAAATGGTTCTCTATCACAATCATGGTTTAAATACTTGTTATAAATTATAGATACATAATTCAATCCAAAATTGCATACAACATTGTCTTCATCATTGACATTCTTATTATATCTTTATTCTAGAGGAGCCTATATTTTGTTTTGTTATTCATGCTCTGAAACATTAAGAGCTAGATTTAGGAATTGATAATGACATTATTTTGGATTTTGAAAAATTTATTGTGAAGCCTAGAAAAGGACTTAAGGCAATAAGTGATATGCCAGTAAGCAAAACTCATTGGCCACATTTTGTGTAGCTTATGAGGGGTATATAATTATTTATTTTTTTATTTAGAAATTTTTATAGAATATTCTATAGAACTTTTGCTAAGCTTATGAAGTAAAAATAACCTGAATAAGCTAATCATAGGAAAGTTTGAATTATAATGTTTTTAGTTTCTACGTGTAAAATGAAAAAAATTGACTATTACTGCAATATTCAGTGACCACGTGTAACATAAGCCATGAGAAGATGATACGAGGGTGATCCAAAGTGAGTTCACTTTTTGTTATATACTCATAGTATTAATTCATATCTTTTGATTCAAACATTTCGAAATTCTCATATGACCTACAATTATGAATGTTTTTAGACATGATGACACATAATCCTCCAGCCCGTACATATGCTCCTCAATTTTATTTTATTTTGTTGATCTTCTCCCTTAGCTTTCATAGCACCATCCAAGATTCTCTCTGAGACCAACCTAATAAATTGTAAAAATAAAATAAACAACAAGAAAAAAATTATTTACCCAACTTCGAAAATCCTTTTGAAATGCAGATTTAATTAATTCCTCCATTTGTTCACCAAATTATAATTGTAAGTAAATTATGATTACCAAATTAAGCTAAATGTGAATCATCAATTGATTAGCAAGTGTTATTACATATTCAAATCCTCCCTCTTTTATAAATGAAATTAAAATATACATTTCATGATTAATGACCAAATCTTTTAAATTAAATAGTTAAAGAAAATTTTAAAACTTATAATGACGGGGGTTGCTTTTTAAAATTTCGATGAATTATTAGTGTTATAAAATTAAATGGAAAGTATCAAAATTTATAACTTCTTTTTTTTTTGGAATTTATAGAAAAATTTAATAAATTGTGAAAACCAAGTCCTGAAAATGGAAACCATTGTCCCTACCATGTTGGCAAAAAAACGAGGGCAGCTTATAGATGGGCAACAAAGTCACTGTATACCAGCCTTATTTAGGAAGTTAGTTATTTTAGTTGGTTATTTAATTTTTTTTTTTGACTATTTTAACTTGATTAAAATAATTGTGTTTGAGAAGTTAATTGGTTTTTTTTTAATTTTTTTTTTAATTTTAGAAAATTTACTTATAAATCCTATTTTGAGGAATGTTGATCTATTTAGTCCCAAGGATTTTCTTATAGATCAATTAGTCCTATTGATTTTTGAAAGGTCGATTTAATATATTATTTAGAAATTAGATTTACGATTATACTATTATTTCTATTATGTTTTCTTTTCTTTTTTTTCTTTTGTGCTAGAAAGGTAATGTACACAATCTATTGGTATCAAACTTGAGATGAATTTTTATACGAGAATCTTTTTTATTTGCAAAACATTTTAAAATAAGTACAAAAATAATTTGAAATATGAGATCCTTCAAACATTCCAAAAGGATATGGGATTTTTCAAACATTTCAAAATGAGTAAAAAAAACCCCATAGCAAACTTTGAACAAATATATAATTTTATTCTGTAACACTATAATATAATACTCATCTGTAACACTCCAAAAAAAAAAAAATCTTAGTGTATTTTTTCTAAACATAACACTCCAAAAAAGCTCATTAGTGTAACACAGCACACAAAAAAATTTCTTAGTATACTTTTTCCAAATGTAACACTCCAATATAACACTAAAAAAATGATGTGTGATTCTTCAAACCATTCCAAAAGGAGTACAAAAATTCCTTAGTAAGTTTTGAGCAAATGTGTAATTTCAAATTGTGAGTGTTACGTTTGGAAAAGATATATTAAGAAATTTTTTAGTACTTTTATGTGTGTTACATTAGAGTATTACGTTTGAGATAACATTGATTGGAGTATCATATTCGGGAAAAGTACACTAAGGAGTTTTTTTGTGCATTACATTGTAGTGTTACGTTTGAAAAAAGTATACTAGTGAGTTTTTTTAGAGTATTACGTTGTTACGCTTAGAAAAAGTGCACCAATGAGATTTTTAGTGTTATGTTGTAGTGTTACATTTTAATTTATAATGTGGGATTTGTTCCCGAATGAGAGAAAATTCAAAAATTCAATAGTGCAAATTGCCAAAATGTGTAATTTTATATTTAGAGAAATCCACTTTTATTCCTAGAAAATTAAACTTGAACATGTAAGTGATTATCATTTTGTGTAATTTTCACTTTAATAAAACTTTTAGGTTCATAAGAAGAAAAAAAAAAAAGACTAAACAGTTTACAAAATCACATTTTGGGATTTATTTCACCTATTTTTTTTAGTTGATTTGATGATTATAAATAAAATAATTATGAGTTAAATGTAATATTTTGTCTTATTATTAATTTTAACTCAACTCTCTTCCCAAACAAGGCACAATTGATGTTTAATTCCCACCAAACATATTACTATATATTGAACGTCCCTGTATCCACCAAATATTAATGTGACATCTCATCAAATCAATTGACTTAAAGTCCTTATCTCATCGACAGACAAATACCCATCTTTTTAAAAACAGAAAACAAAAAAACAAAAAAAGAAGATAAATGAAAATTATACATATATATTATTTTAGATTGATTCCTAGATATTGAAATAGAATTCTACATGTATTGACAAAGGAATGGTGAGATATCATCAAATAGATAATTAAGTACCATATATATATATGTCCCTTTCCCACCTAATAAATCCACTAAGCTCTAATTGAATCAAAAATAAATAAATAAATAAAGACTAGATATAAATGGAAGATTGGAACCAACCCCAAATGCCCAATTCCATGCTAGGGAAATTTTTTTTTTATTTTTGGTGGGGTTTAATTATACTTTATGATAAGCATATATGTCCTAGTTGAGGTTGACAATAGCACAAAACTTGGCACACATGACCACCTAGGCATGAGAGATTTATGGGAGAAGACGGGACTCGAATCGGATTCCCGGTTTGGGAGTTAGAGCCAGATTTCACTCTAGACAAATTAGTTTCTTAAGAAACTTAGAATTCGATGTGTTAACGTCCCAAAATCACCAAACGGCGTCGAAGTAGCACGAAACTTGGCACATACGACCGCCTAGGCACGAGAGACTTATGGGAGAAGACGGGACTCGAATCTGGTTCCCGATTTGGGAGTTAGAGTCGGATTTCACGCTAGGCAAACTAGTTCCTTAAGAAACTTAAAATTCGAGGTGTTGATATCCCAAAATCACCAAACGACGTCGAATTAGCACGAAACTTGGCACACAACTACCTAGGCACGAGAGACTTGTGAGAGAAGATGAGACTCAAATCGAGTTCCCGGTTTGGGAGTTTGAGCCGGATTTCACTCTAGACAAACTAGTTTATTAAGAAACTTAGAATTCGAGGTATTGACGCCCCAAAATTACTAAACGGCGTCGAATTAGCACGAAATTTTTATATTAGTTAAATTTTTATATTTTTTTGTAATTAATATTTTAACACATAATTATATTGTCATTAATTATTTTTATTTTTTATTTTCAGATATTTCCTGAGTAGGAGTTTGCTTCTTGTGGAATGCATGCTTGTGAAAAATGCAGCTAACTTTTGTTTTGTTACCCATGAAGAATGATGAGGAAAACTTTTAATTTTGGTTTATGTTATTTTGAATTATGAACAACATTATGTTTTTAAACATTATATATGTATTATGGAACATTATGTAGTGGGGTAATTTTGTTGATGTGTAGTTATGGATGCAAGAATATTTTTATTATGGAGAAATTGTTATTTCTACACAGGAATTTTGATATTATTATGCAATTATTAGTTTCTTTTTCAATTGTTTTTTATTTAATACAGGTAATTTTAATATTTTTAATAATTTTATTGTAATTTTTTTTTTTTGCGACGGCACCACACCGTTGCAAAAAAAGGTAATTTTAATATTTTTATTAATTTTATTGTATTTTTTTTTTCGACGGTACCACACCGTCGCAAAAAACATTAGAACCATTGGCAACAGTAGTCATGCCGTTGCAAAAAAAACACAATTCGCCATAGCATTTCTTACCATCTCAAATAAAACTTTTAACGACGGTAAAATAGTGTCGTCACAAAAGGCAACAATTGCTGTTGCAAAAAAAAGGCATGCCGTCCCTAAAACTTTTTTGCAACGCCCTTTGCTGTGACCCCCCCTTTGCCGTCGCTAAAAGTCATTTCTCGTCGCTAAAATTTGTTTGAGACGGCATTATGAGTATTAGCGACGGCATTTTACTGACGCAAAAACCTGAAATTTTTGTAGTGAAATATAATATGTATTTTATGCTAGTAAAAAAATTTAAAATAATAAGAAATAACTATACCACGGTGCGGTTCGGTTCGGTTCGAAACCGTGAAAACCTGACTGTTTTGAACGATTCCACCATTTTAAGAACTAGAACCGCAACTAAAAAAATCAAATCAGACCAAAAATTTAATTCGATTTACCGGTTTTACTGATTTTTTTAACACTCCCACGCACCACTAAATCAAAAGTAATGCTTAATTACTATGCGCCAATATACTTGCAATGCTTAATTACAAGTATCTTTTTGTGCGATTTGTGATTTTACATGAAGCTCTTGTGTGATCTTGAAATTACAATATTGTCATTGAGTGAAAAAACTTTCATGAAAATGATCATGAAAGATTTATGACCCTTGAATTACACTTAAAATAAACACCACACACTAATCAAGATAATCCAAGAGTCATAAATTTTTCATGACCAATTTCATGAAAGTTTTTCATGACCCCTATCTTTTCTCTATTGTCATTTCTTGTTTTTTCTAACAATATTCAGATACATTCTCTCTATTAAATGGTTGTCAATTAAAGATCCTAAGAGAATATTTTGATGTTAGCGAAATTGAGCCTTTAAATACTAATAACAATATTTTTTCCACCATTGTAAAAGACAAAAGTGTCATTTCTTATCCCAAACCAAACACCCCACCCATCATTGACCCTTGTAAAAACCAAACACTACCTCCCCTTATTTTCCTCGCACCATATTGCACATTCCAAATTAGTTGCCATTTTTTTAATTTTTTAATTTTTTTCTAAGCACTGCATTGACACTATCCTTCCCTCTCTTTCTCTATCGCAACCCAACAACCAACACCACCTTTGTTCTCACTCATCTTGCACGCAACATACCATCTATCCTGTAATCGCAACACCTCTATCCTCTAATTAGATATCAAAATCTCTCTTCCCTCAACTCAAACAACCCCACTCCATTGCAAAATATACATGTAAAATGCATGAATATGTCTATTTTGTGTGAAGGAATTTGTTACACATACAAAAAAAAAAAAAAAAAAAAAAAAAAAAAAAAAAAAAATTAAGATTTTAAGCATTTTATATATTTTTTTAGATGTACCTTACTTAGATGTATCTAAAAAGTAAAATATAAGTAAAAAATATTTCAAAAAAAAAAAAAAAAAAAAAAGCGAAAAATTTACTTACAAATCCCATATTGAGGAATTGTGATTTATTTAGTCTCAAAGATTTTCTTATAAATCAATTAATCCCATTGATCTAGAAAGGTAGAATTAATATATTATTAGAAAGTTGGATTTACGGTTATACTCTTATTTTTATTATGTTTCATTTTCTTTTTTCTTTTGTGCTAGAAAGGTTAAGGTACACAATTTATGAGAAACCAATTTGGGATAAATTTTCATATGAGAATCTTTTTTATTTGGAAATATTTCAAAATGAGTATAAAAATGACTTGAAATATGAAATTCTTCAAACATTCCAAAAGGATATAGGATTTTTCAAACATTTCAAAATGAGCATAAAAACTCCTTAGCAAGCTTTAGGCAAATAATTTCAATCTGTAATACTCAAATGTAATAATCACACGTAAAATTCTAATGTAACATTTTAAAAAAATCTTTATGCTGTGTTTGGTTGGGAGATTTGATGAGGGATTCAGAAAGAGAAATGGAAAAGGTAGGTGAAATATGAATAAAACATACCTATATTTCACCTAGTTTCACACACCTTTTCCCTTTTTCTTTCCAAATCTCTTCCCAAATTCTCAAACCAAACACAACATTGGTGTACTTTTTCTAAACGTGACATTGCAATATAACACTAAAAAAAGAAAAAACCTTAGTGTAACACTTTAATGTAACAAACAAACAAAAATCTCCTTAGTGTAGCACTTTAATAAAACAAACAAAAAAAAAAAAAAATCCCTTATTGTAACACTCTAATGTAACACACAAAAACTCCTTAATATGCTTTTCACAAACATAATACTCCAATATAACACTCTAAAAAAATTCCTTAGTATAACACTCTAATGTAACACATAAAAAAAACTTCTTAATGGACTTTTCAGAAGCATAATACTTTAATATAACATTCGAAAAAAATTCCTTAGTACAAACACTCTAATGTAACATACAAAAAAAAACTCTTTAATGTATTTTTTCCAAGCATAATACTTCAATGTAACACTTTAAAAAAAATGCTTAGTGTAACACTCTAATGTAACTTACGAAAAAACTTCTTAATGTACTTTTCTTAAACGTAATACTCCAATGTAATATTTTAAAAAAAGATTCTTAATGTAATACTCTAATGTAACACACATAAAAAAAAATTAGTGTACTTTTTCTAAACGTAGCACTCCAAAAAATTTCTTAGTGTAATAACACTCTAATGTAACAAAGTTTTTTTTCCTTAATGTACTTTTCTCAAATCTAACGCTCTAATATAATACTCTAAAAAAACTTCTTAATATAACACTCTAATCTATCAAAAATTTGTTAGTATATTTTTCCTAAACATAACACTTCAATGTAACACTCCAAAATAAAGATGTGAGACCTTTCAAATCATTCTAAAAGAATGTGTAATTTTTCAAACCATTCCAAAAACAGTACAAAATTTTTTAGTAAGTTTTGAGTAAATGTATATTTTAAACTGTGAGTGTTACGTTTAGAAAAAGTATACTAAGAATTTTTTAGTAATTTTGTGTGTGTTACATTGGGGTATGTTGCATTGGAGTGTTACGTTTAAAATTACATTGATTGAAGTGTTATGTTTGGAAAAGTAAACTAATGAGGTTTTTTTTTTTTTGTAATGTTACTTTTGAAAAAAATACACCAATAAATTTTTTAATGTATTACATTGGAGTGTTACGTTACCGGAGTGTTATATTGGAGTGTTATTTTTTTGTTCCTGATATGGGATGTGTTCTAGAAGGAGGAAAAATCCAAAACTCCTATAGTACGGATTGCTCAAATGTGTAATTTTATATTTGGAAAAACCCACTTTTATTCCTTAAAAATTAAGCCCAAACATGTAAGTGACTACTTTTTATGTAATTTTCACTTTAATCGGACCTTTAGATTCATAATAATAATAAAAAAAAATAGAGACTAAATAATTTGTAAGATTACATCTTTAAATTTATTGGTACTTCACTAAAAAAAAAAAAAAACTCATGTAATTATCTTTACTCGTAATCAATGATAATAACATCTTAATTTATGCAACGGGTAATTCTCATTTTTAACAAATAACAAACCATTTTACATAATTATAGATAACCTAATATATTTTAGAGTAAATTATAAATACACAGTTTAAGATTTACTTAAAATATGAATTGTTCCGTATAGTTTAAAAAATTATAAATCTCTCGTTCTCAAAATTTTTTATTTAACCGAATTAATTGAAAAAAAATAAAATTCTTAACTATTTTTATTTACAATTATAAAATTATCTAAATTATTAATTGATACAAATTTATGATATCATTAAAAATTATTAACTGACTTAATAATTTTTAGTATTTATTATGAATTTAAAATTTTTGAAAAGCATGATGTAATTTTTAAAACTACAAATATATATATAATAGTACTATATATATTGAGCAAATGTCAGAAGTTGGGCCTGTTTGTGTCAAGTTTCATTTATTTAAGTTTCTTAATAATTAAATTAAAAATGTCATAAAAATTTGTTGAATAATTTTTTTGGTTTATAAATGGTTGTCTCAGTTGATAAATTTGAGGAAAAAACGTAAATTCAAAAAATGAGTTTACGTTAGTTTTTAAATAGAAATTTAAAAATTTAATTAATAATTTTTTTTTTTCAAATAATTTTTTTTTTCAATTTTTTTAAAACTAAACATGTTTATAGTGTATGTTTTTCTAAAAATAAACAAAAACTAATTTATAAAATTTTTATAAACATAAAAAAAAAAAATGTAAACACTACCAAACCCTATCTTTAATATTTTGCTGTTTGCTTGACCATATTCTTTATCTGTACGCACAAAATAACTAAACTTGTTATTGATGTTTACAATGAATATATTAACCCAAAGGTTACTGATTGCTTGACCATAATCTTTACCTGTATATAATATTGCTGTGGTGACACAATTTGTATAAACTTTTGTGTAACAAATGTTGACATTATTGTATTTAAAATTCACTGTTTATTAAATTTGTTAATTATATCATTATACAACAAATAATCGAAATGCATTCACATTAAAAAATAAAAATAAAGGATAGGATCCATCTGGCCCCCACTTATTTAAGTCCAACCCCCGAGATGTTCTTCAAACGCACGCCTTTGCATGTAAGAAAAAAAGCAAAAGTAAAAGAAATTAAATAAATAAAATAAGCTTTTAAATTAAAATAAACCAAATAACTTTGAATTTTCAAGTGATTACGTTTCACCTCTCTCTCTCTGAAGCTGTAATTTGAAAATGAGTATACGACTAGACGCAACTTCTTTCGGTTATGGCCTTTCCCTCTCTCGTTTCCGTTTCCCACTCTCATCCCCACCACCACCGCCACCTTTTCTTCTCTCTCCTCCACTCTTCTATTTACTCTCCCGCTCCAAAACCCCTCACTCTCTCTCTCCTCCTCTCTCTCTCGCTCTCGCTCTCGCTTTCGCTTTCATACATACACTTATCAGTCTCTCTGTCTGTATAAATTATTATTATTATTCTTTCATTTATGGGTTATCTCTCTTGCAATGCCGAGTCTGCGATCTCCGTTTGCGATCCTCACAACTGGGACTTACCCAGAAAACACAAGTCCAATAATCTCCACAAACCCAACACCAAATCCTTTCAGATCAGAGAGTTCTCTCACTCCGATCTCTTCTCCGCCACCAATTCTTTCTCAGTTGACACCTTTCTCGGAAAGGGCAGTCACGGCTCCGTCTACAAAGCCTCCCTCGATGACGGCGAGCTCATCGCCGCCGTCAAAAAAACCACCACCACATCATCGGAAACTAACTGTACGACCAGTCCCGCAGAGAACGAGATCGAAATACTCTCCCGGGTTCGGAGTCCTCGCCTCGTGAATTTAATCGGGTTCGGCGTTGATTCGGATAATAGGAAACTAATCGTAGTTGAATTCATGCCAAACGGGTCCTTGTACGATTTGCTTCATAATAGCACTAGACCGCCCGGTTGGAGGAGACGAGTCCGGTTCGCTTTGCAGATAGCGAAGGCGACCTTCACTTATCTAACCCGCCGGTGATTCACAGAGACATAAAGTCATCCAACGTGTTGATCGACGATGAATGGAAAGCGAGGCTCGGTGACTTTGGCTTAGCTTTGAGAGGACACGTGGAGGACGTTCGGGTCAAGTGCACGCCACCGGCGGGGACGTTAGGGTACCTCGACCCCGGCTATCTTGCGCCTGGGGATCTCAGTACCAAGAGTGACGTGTTCAGCTTTGGAATATTGTTGTTGGAGATTATCAGTGGCCGAAACGCCATCGACATGAACTACAGTCCGCCGTCGGTGGTGGACTGGGCGGCGCCGCTCATTCGCGGCGGTGATTACGCCGGAATTTGCGACCCAAGGATCGGGCCGCCGGAGGACGCGGCCGCGATGCGGCAGCTGGCGGTGTTGGCAGCCAGGTGTGTCAGGTCTACGGCGGAGAAACGGCCGGAAATGTCTGACGCCGTGGATTGCTTGAGGGCGGTAAATAAGAGAGTGTCGTCGCCAATTTGGAACAACCTAGGGCGGCGCGTGGGGCAGCGCGTGTGCAATTCGTCGCAGTCGATTAAATACGAGCCGTTGGATGATAGCATGGAGATCTGCAAGGGTTCCTCGAGGGTTGGAAGTAGAAAGAACAGGAAAGTATCCAGTGTTACGGGTGTAGAGTCAGGAAAGGAAGTTATTGTTATTGGTTCGAGTAAGAATGATCGTGTGGCTCGATCCAAATCTGTGGGGTCAGTGCATGAGATGAAATTGGGGCCGTTGGATACAAATCTTGGTGGGAATCAGGTGGGATTAATCAGGAGGAGGGCAGGATTGGCTGTGAAGATGCCCATGGTAAGACTGAGCAAGTCAAGATCAATGGGAATGTTGCAGAGCTCGAGGCTTGTAAACAACAATGGAGGAGGGTTTGTGGTACAGCTTGTGAGGAACCCTAATTGTGGAGAATTGGAATCATCCAAATTGTTAATTAATTTAGAAAAAAAAGGCCCTGAAGGAGAAACTATATGAGAAAAGAATTGGTTTTGATTAAATTTTTTAATAAGACTTTATAAAGTTTTAATAAAATGAAGTCTTATTAAAAAATTTAATTTAAAACAAGGTCGTATTGACGAAGGACATTAATTTTAATTTTATATAAATTGCATATTGTAAGGGGCTTTTTAAACAGCATATTGTAGCATTGATATATATGTTTCTATATATATCTTTTGTAACTTTAAAGTTCAATCTACAATGATTTTTGTCAATCTACATTGAATTGTTGGTAATTTTCAATTGTAATAGTTAATTATTTACATTTTAAATCAAATTACAATTCATCTATTGTTAATAAGGTTAACAAAAATTAAAAGTGAAAGGATTAAAGTAAAATATTGGTAAAAATATAAGGGCTAAAGTGATATTTTAGTAAAAATATGAAAACGTTGATGAGACAAGAAAATGTCACATATGATTTATATGATAATTTTCGCCAACCTTACTAACCATTGATGAACAAAAAGATGACATTGCAATTTAACTTAAAGTATAAGGACTAATTATTACAATTAAAAGTGAAGAATGCTAAATGCAATTAATCTTGATGTGTTAGAATAAAAATAATATTTGTAGTGGACTAGAAATGGTAGGAATAACTCACGTTTGTCAAATTTTTTATTAGGTATAATGAAATTTTTTATCTCAAATTTCAACAAAGTTAGAGACCTAGGTTTGTTTTAGGAGATAGAGGTGATAATGGTATTGAGATAAATATGAGACTCATCATATGTTGTGTTTATTTTGAGAGATGGAGAAGAGATTTATAATCTTATGAAATTAAGATGAGCTTTGGTATTGGGATTAAGATTGAGGAAGTGGAGGTGATATTAGGAAATTAGTCCTCCAGCAAGTGTGTTTTTTTATTTATTTTTTATTTTTAACATGTTGGGCATTTATTATCAAAACAAATACTTTTTTTACTTAATCTTCTCACAATTAATCTCTTCAATTCTACGTTTGAAAACAAACGGATCTCTAAGAATACATCTATAATGATGTGACAAAGGTGAGAAGATTAATTTAACAATTCCCATACTAACAATTATCATCAAAACAAATACTTTTTTTACTTAATCTTCTCACTATTAATCTCTTCAATTCTACGTTTGAAAACAAACGGATCTCTAAGAATACATTTATATTGATGTGACAAAGGTGATAAATCTCATATAATTGAGTATATGATCAATTAAAAACTGATACTCGTCAAATCATATCATTATGAATTGAATTATGAGAGATTTTGAGGGTCTCAAATATTTTCTCTCAAATTTCTTTGTATAGTGTCAATGGTTGAATTATACTTCATAATTTTTCTTACATGCTTAATGTTTTTGGGACAGGACAAAAAAGATTGGGATAAAAGGATTAACTTGTATGACATTAAATAGTGTTTGGAAGTTCATTCATTTACTTATTTTTGACAAGGTTACTTTACATTTATCCAATTTATATGGAAGCCATTATTAGGGTTAATTGTTCTAAGTTCAATAAATACGGTGATGATGTTCAACAAATTAATGGTAACACAACACATTGCACGTGTTATTTCGCATCAATGTTATGATTTCTTGCCACTAAACTCTTGTAATTGTGTAAAAAGTAGTTCAATGTGAAATCTTTGATCACCTATTTAGTAGAAAATTTAAAATTTATAACATTTTTTTTTTTGTGTAAAAAGTCTAATTTAAGAGTGCTGCTATTAGTACCTATCAAAATTCTTTGGACCCTCCATTTTATAATTTTTTTTATTACAATTATACCCTAAAGTGAAATTACATTAAAAGATATTATGAAATGGAACACTCACCTATCAATAATAACTAATACTCTATAATATTGGACACCCACCCACACCCCTACCTCTAACTCCAACTATACGTATTCTATGTTTGTAAACCCTAAACGTATTACTTTTCATAATCAATTAACATAAACCCTAAATCTATTATTTTTCATAATCATCTTAAATTCTGAATGTGTCATCTTCATCACCATCATCAACGCTATTGAACTTGAAAGTTTTTCTTCAAGTATAACGTATACTTCATCACTTATTTCACTGTGTAGAGCAATAGAGGACGAGAACAACATTCTCGGTCGTTTATCTGTCTTGTATTAACATTCTCGGTCGTTTTCGGTCGTTCTTGTTTCGTTCGAGCTGTTCGGTACTGGTTTGCTGACTGTTACAATTATGTTCGGTAACACAGTACTGAACATAATCCTTTTGTTCAATACATAAGTTCTGAACATTAATGCAGATAGTCAGTTATGTAGTTTTCTTTGTTAAACTAACTTAGAATGGAAAAGAGTGAGTTGGAATGGATTTAAGTTATGTATTTTGAATGGATTTAATTTATGTTATTTTAAGTTGTGAATTAGAATGGATTCAAGTTACACAGTGATGAACAAATTTTGTTCGGACATACAGTGCTGACAGGATCATTATTGTTCGACAAAATAGTTCTGAACAAAATACATTTTTTCGGCTATACAGTGGTGAACAAATTGGATGGATGTGTTTTTCATTGTGAAAAAATGGAGATTAGTTTTCTCTTCTGAAAATATTATGAAAATATTATGGAGATTAGTTTTCCAAATATATACATTGTTTTCTATTCCTACAATTCGCATCAATCTTCAATTTCTCATCTGAATTTTCCAATCAATGGCAAATTCCAAAAACACCCACGTCGTCGAAATCCTAATCGACGAAGAACACCAACCCCACAAGTAAATGCATTGTGTTTTCATGAACCACTTTTTAGATGTGGTTAATGTTGGAGAGAGAAGAGAGAGAAAAAACTAGGCTTTTGAAGGGGTTTTGAGAGAGAGAGAGAGAGAGAGAGAGAAAAAAAAAAGAGAGAAGAGAGAGAAAAATCTTCACTTTCTCATATGAACAAAAGGGGTTTTGAGAGAGTGAGAGAAAAGAGAGAGAAGAGACATCACTGATGAGGAGAGAGAGATAAGAGAGGGAGTTGGAATGGATTCAGGTGGGTGTGCATTTCATTGTGAATATGGTAGATTTGGTAATAAGTGGGGTGTCCAAAAAAATATTATTAAAATTTAGGATTTAGGGTTGGGGTCCAAAGAATGGGGGGTCCAAAGAATTTTGGTAGGTGCTAATAGCAGCACTCCTAATTTAATTATCAATGTAAACACCCATTTTGGGAAAAGCTTTTAAATTGTTTTCTAAAATTTTTTTGATTAGCAAAAGATAAATATTATTGATGAACCAAAAGAATATTACATCAATAAAGAAAGCAAGGAGTGCAAAGAGCATCAAAACAAAACAAACCAATCTCAACTAGGTTGGCACCGATAAGTCCGCCCTACCATCTGCTAGCAGACCATCAAAAGTTGGTGAGCATCCAACCACAATAAAAAGACAACCACACCTGAAATAAAAACAAACACAAAAACCAATACAGCAGAACGCACAACCAAGCACACACAAAAACTCTTATGCTAACAGAGAACATACAACACAAAACCACCACAACAACCATTTCTCAAGAGAGCTTGACTGCATAACACAAGGTGGCAACTAACATTCAACATCAAGATACCACTTGAACTCCCTCTACCCTTGTAATATCAGTTGCCAAAAACTCTTCTTCTTCACCCTTCCCCCAGCCCACCATTGACCCAATACTGCTGCAGCTACTACTCACCAGATCTTTGCAGATTTTCTACCAAGTCCATGACAGAATACTACTGCTATTCTTCTTCCCACATAGATCAACCTACAATAGCATTATAAATCCAGTGGCAGCATAACATCAGGACTCAGCAACTGGAGCAAGCTTCCCTGTGACACAACAGTTGATAGCAATTCAAAACAAATTGCAAAAGTCCAACTCTACCATGTTCTCCAAATCCACCATAAACAAACCAAGGTCTAAAATCCATCTAACCAATCAAAAGCAGCCGAAATAAGAAAAAGCATAACAACAATGCAACCAATGCAACAGCAGCAGCCCAAGCAGCAGCAACCAAGCAACCAAACAACCAATGCATCAGCAGCCATCAAAACAACCAAGCAGCCAGCAGCTGCAGATTAGTAGTAACCAACCATACAAAAGCATTATACCAGTAACAGCAACAATACAGCAAGAAAGAACAATCAACCCCTACCAAGACACCTCCTACTCTGATTTAGATTATAAATAAAATCACTCACTGGTTATTGCCAATCCTTTGATAATGAACTGAGCCAAAGAGCCAATCTAGTTTTGATAAGCTCAGCTAAGACCTCAACATCAGCACTTGCCTTATTGAAAACACACTCATTCCTTAACTTCCATATAGACCACAGAGTAACAAGAGAGATTAATCTCCAAAACACCTTTTCTTTCTTCTTAATAAACTTCCCTCCCTCCCACCAATGCATCAGAGAAACAACTGTACTAGGAATTACCCAATGTATCTCCCACTACTTCAACACTAATGACCAAACCTTCCACACAAAAATGCAATGAAGGAACACATGTGTTACCGACTCCAAATCTTGTTAACAAAAGCAGCACAAAGTACAGTTTCCACCAGATAGGACCCTAATTCTCTGTAAGAATACAGAAGTGTTTACCTTATGTTTTCAAGCAAGCCAGCAAAAAAACTAAACTTTAGGAGATAAGACCTTATTCCACAGCAACCTACTAACCTTAAGGTAATTTCCACATTCCAATGAACAAAGCTTGTACAGAGAAGATACCGAAAAAATACTTGATGTTGTGGTTGCCCATTCTGGATAATTAATTCTATCCAAGCTTACTGAAAGACCAGTTGAGAGAATAGAGAAATAATCTTTGCAATTCCACATTTTCCCATTCAAACAACTCTTTTCTAGGTAGAATGCTCCACTCCCCTGAGGTATCCTTGAAATCAGCAAACAGATGAAGAGAATCCCTCTTTTCCTTTGATAAGCTGTACAATCTTGGAAACTCTATTTTCAAACACGGGGAATTACACCACACATCCTTTCAAAATCTGACCCTACAACCATCTTTCACCCTTACTTTAAAATTATTTCGAAAACACTCCACTAGAGAAGGGTGTTGATTAGCCACTGAACTAATATCAATCCATAATCTTGACTGCTGTGAGATATGTAAGATATCTGAATGAATGTTGTAATTTCTATATCTGTTGGTTACAAGAGTGATGCTCATTTATAGAGAAAGCACCGAAAGGAGAAGACATAATAATGAAAG